AATTATGGCTGCACAGAGTTTATAATATATCTGGGCTAAATTTATATTTCCCACCTGAAGTTTTCCTTCTGGGATTATACACTGCTACTGCAATAATAAAACATTACAGTTCATAAGTGATGCAAAAAAAAAGTTGTTGCAGGAATATGGAAAGACAGGCTATGCTTCTAGAGAAAACTAGTAGATGTTTACAGGTAGCATGATGTTTACCTTGGTCTAAAATGTGTTTTAATGGTATGATATAATCTAATCTGTTTTACGTTTTTCTTTGGGATAGATAGTTATTGTAATTGTTCCTTTGTTGTGCGCTCTTGCTGTCTTAGCAATTACTACATGGTATGATATTTTTCATTTTCGAGTGTGATATGAGAGTGTATATTGTTCACATTCATTTTTGTGTATGGATTAGTGATCATTGTGTTATGTAAGAAAGCAAATTATTAAAGCACTTCCTTTTAGAGATATGTAACATTTTTACATTGATGAGGAGTTGTCATCTTTTTGTTACCTCATCCTATTGTGTATTTGAAGGAAAAGAGCAGAATAAGATGACTGCGTGACACAGCACTTACCTTAGAATTGTGTTAAAGACCTTTGCTTGTTTTGGTTTTGTGTTGAAGCAGGTCAGATATATGTTGTGACCTACAGACATCTAAAGCTTTAAATGCTACTCTCACTCCCCATTTTTAAAGCCTAACTTACGGTTAGCCACCTAGACTTTGTCAGGTGCAGCTTGCAGGCTGAAGCAGTTAACTACAAATGTAACTTCGAAGGGCAAGATGCTTTTGTTTGATTGCAAGCTTTATTTGATTCTTTCTATCCCAAGGTGTACATAATTTTAAAGAGCGATTTGAAGTAAAATGAATGAAAGATTTTTTTTTTGAACTTGTGCACACATTTCTTGAAGACACTATAGAAATATTTAAATCGATTAGAAAATATACTGTTTTTGAGAAATCATATGCGTAGTAAAGACCAGAGTAAAAGTTGCATCAGTCTTTAGTCCTCTTTGACCTATATTTTTGATTCTTAACTGTGCATAATTTTTCCACTATTTTTATAACTAATATAAAAAGTTCTGGCCTGTTAGAAAAGATACCTTTAAATGTTAAAAAAAACCTGTAGCTTGCTCACTGTGTGCTCCTTTAGCAATGGCGTTTTTGAAAGTACTGCTTGGGGTGCTGGTACTCTGGAATTCTTCACTACACAGTTAGAACCATCTGCTCTAATAATGGTGGAAAAAGTCTGCTTTTCCACCAACTTATTTCAATTCAGCAGGTGGTTTAGTTTTTTAGTAAAGATTTTTCAGTAAAACTACATCTGTGCTAGGTTTTAGCTGTTGTGGTAATTCATACCTCATCCAACCTAGGCAGGCTGCAAAATGGGTGAGAAGATTTGACCCAAAGGTATGTCAGTTTTCCTTAGCTCCTTCTGAACTGTTCAAGATTTTCATGTCTTCAGCACGTATACTCGTGAAATACTTTTTAGTATGTACACCTGAAAAGTTTTCCTTAGCTATGGTTTAAAATGCATGATGTAATCCCTGATCTGTTGCAGCTTTCACTGTAAAATTTGATTGAACCAGGAATCGTTTTTTTGCAGTCGTCAGATATGTTGCTCTGGAAGAAGACCTATTTCCAAGCCAAATTGTATATTTTAGTTTTCTTTGGGTAGAAGAATCTTTTTTGTTTGTCTCTGTATGATACTTTTCAACTAGGAAAGAAATTGTTTCCAACCTTCAGAAGCTGAGATGCAGAAAACAAGTATCATCTGCCCCTCTACCAGTGAGACGTTGGAATGAAAGAGGAAGAGGAGAGAGTATCTTGGTTAGCAACAAACCCGAACCACATGAAGGGGTTTGTCACTCTGGCCACAAAGCTGAAAAAGTACCGACAAGGCAACTTCTCTTTTTCATATTACCAGCTTGCAAATCTGTTAGGATACCCCTGGTGACTATACTTAGTGTTCAGGTGTAACACCTTATAGAACTTAATACTAAATGCAGTTACACAGTTGTGTTTACAATTAAGATGCTCCTTAGCTAATTGTACCTGTAGAAGGATTCTGTCAGGACTATTGTGCTTTTTCCTCAATAGCTTATTGAAGTTCATAGCTGGGTGTTTCAAGTACTGTATTATTCCAGCTAAGCAATTATGGGTGTTGGGTCAAAATAGTAATGATGATACCAATGACTTGAAGTTAGCTTTTAATTTTCAAGACATAATACAACAAAAGTTGGTTCTTTTTCAGTAAACTAGCACCCTAGCTAAGTGTTTAACCTCCTTTGCTAGTGCCACCACTGTTAAAAAAATGAAGTCTTACAAAACAAGTCAATGTTGAAACTTAAAATTGCATATATTGCTTAATTTAGTTGTAAGTAGTACAAGGAAAATATTATATTGTATACCTGATCTTTCGTGTCTGACAGTGTAATATTTTTTTTTATCGGTTTGCACAGGCAGATACAGTCAACTGACTGTACAAGATGAGCCCTAGCTAATGCTACTGTGATACCTTTTAGCTATGGTGTTTAAAGGTAATGCTGCTTAATTTAGCCTGTGATAGGGAAGGCTTAAGATCGCTTGTGTTTGCTGCAGTAGTATATGCACATAGACAGCATTACTGCAGCTCAGATTATTCACAGTACTTTAAAACACAATAGGCTGCTCATGTGTTCATGTGCCAAACTTAATTGTGCGGGTTTTTTTGGTACAGAAAATGTCTTGTAAATCTAAAATTCAAAGCCTACCAGAGGTAAGTGTATTTTAAGGAACAGAAATGTAATTTGGGACATCAGTGATCCTGAAAAAATAGAGTTGCAGATCTTCAGTGGAAGAAAACTTCAGAATTGTGTAGTTTGATTTGCCGGCTTATCCAGACTTAAATTTTACATGATAGTCCTTAGACAGGAGGAGTCTTTACAGTTTAAATCTTCGTATGCCTTTTCTTGTTTAGATTTGTTCCTCTAGGCTAGCCTTATAACATCTTTCACCAGTGGTATGTCCAACCCTGAACTGGAAAGAGGAAGCGTGGTGTTGCCCACTGTCCATGAAATGGGAGGAACTGGGGGCAAAGGCACTGGTACAGCAAATTGTAGGAAGAAAATAGACTTGCCAAACATGTTCCCAAACTTCTTGATGAATGAATGGGAAGCAAGTAATGAAGCTGACTTGAGGAATATTTTCTGGTGTGGCTAATTAAGTTACACATCTGTAGTAGTGTTCTGATGTGAAAATGCTACTCAGGAAGGAACTTTTTGTTGTTAGAGTGGATTTCTTTTGTTCAAGTGTAATGTTTCTCAGACTTTGGGGGTTCATCTTATCCTAATGTAACACCTTCCCTCTAATCATGCCAACCAATAGCTTCCTGTCATTAATTGCTGTCAGCAGCTTGGTTCTACAGGGCAAGGGTTATAATTATTAGATAGGGTTGAAAATGCTTACCCTTCTCACCCTGGGGAGCCAAGCTGTTGCTAGCAATTAAAGGTAGTTAGCTGTTCCCTGCCTCCTGTAAATGTCCCGGCCCTGCTGGCTGGGGGCCGTCTGGCGCGTGCTGGGGCATTGCGGCCCCCGGTGCCATCCCCGCCTGCGGGACCGGTGCGGGGGCCGGGTGGCAGATGGGGAGACGGAGGGGGGCTGCCATGCAGTGGCCCCCGCCTGCCGGGCCTCGATCTCCTTTTAAGGCCTGGCCGATGTCCTCCTCCCTTACTTGGCCGGGCACTGCGAGGGGGACGGGCGAGGGGATCCGGCTCCTCTCTGTGGTTCAGCCCTGGAGAAAATGGGATTTGGCCAAGGCCTCCGGGGCCCTGGCGGGGATGGGAGAGAGTGGGAGAGCCACGCAGCCTGTCCCCTTCCCCCCGGGGCCCGCGTGCGGGCGCGCAGGCGATGCCCGC